GATAAATAATGACAGTTAATTGTTGACAGAAAAGGTTAGCATAAAACTATAATATTTAAATGTGATCGCAGCAGACACACTATGATTTTAAAGATACAAATCATTTGAAAGTTAAAGAATTGAAAAGATATACCATGAAAACAGCAATAATAAGAGAGCTGGGATAGCTATCAAAAAATATAAAAATTATAACATATATGCATCCAAGAACAAAGCCAGAAAGTTACACAAAGTAAAACATGACAGAATTGAGCTGAGAAATAGAAAATCCAATACTAACAGAGACTCAAGTACATTTAAACAGTAAGTAAAAGACCGCTTTAGGGAGAACTATGAAGCACTGAGGAAGGAAATTACAGAGGATGTAAACAAGTGGAAAAACATATCATGCTCATGGATCCACAGAACCAACATTGTTAAAATGTCTATACTACTAAAATAATTTACATATTTAATGGAATAACCATTAAAGTATCAACGTGATTTTTACAGATCTAGAGAAAATAATTCTACACTTCCTTTGGAACCAGAAAAGACTCTGAAGAACCAAAGCAACCTTAAGCAAAAAGAACAAATCAGAAGGCATCACTTTATGAGACTTCAGCTATACTACAAGGCTATCATAACCAAAACACCATGGTATTGGCATGAGAACAGAGATCTAGACCAATCAGAACAGAGAACCCAGATATAAAACCATTATCATATTGCCTTCTGATCTTACAAAAAGAAAGACAAAAACATACACTGGGGAAAAGAATTCCTATGGTGATTATAAATGGTGCTGGGGAAACTGGATAGCCACATGTAGAAGACTGAAACAGGATCCACACATTTCACCTCTCACAAAAATCAACTCACGGTGATAACAGACTTAACCTAGCCGTGAAACTAAGAATTCTAGAAGAAAATCTTGGAAAACTCTTATAGACATTGGCCTAGGCAAAGAATTTATGAAGAAGACCCCAATGACAATCACACCAACAACAAAAATAAATAAACGGGACCTAATCAAATTAAAAAGCTTCTGCACAGCTAAAGAAACTATCATGAGAGCAGACAACCTACAGAATGGGAGAAAATATCCACATGTTACACATTGGATAAAGGGCTGACAACTAGAATCTATTTAGAACTCAGGAAAATCAGCAAGAACACCTCAGTTACCTGCTAAAGACCCCATCTCCAGATATAGTCACATCAGGAGTTAGAGCATCAGTATATGAAATTGGAGGGGGAGGCACAATTTAGTCCATGGCAGTAGACCTAAGGGAAGATGTGTTATGAGAATTAGAGGTTCTAAATTTAATTATGATAAAAGGAATTATTGAAGGAGGAGACATAGCAATCATAATGTATGCATGTCATTACATTGCTTCAAAATATGTAAAGCAAGTGTGAGAGAATAAGGGGAAAAGATATATGCATAATCATATTTGAGAATGAAAAAAATTAGCAATATTATTTTCCATTTTGTCAAAATTTATATTTATAAGAATGTATAGCAGAATATTAATAAAGTATTTACCAAAATAATATGGTAATAAATAAAGTAGTATCAATAAATATTAAATGATTAAAATCTTACAGAGAATAAACTGAACCATTGTGAATTTAAGTTAGAATCAAATAATACAAAGATTATTTAAAAATATCTAAAGGTTAGCAATTAAAAGATGAGAAATTAGGCCGGGCGCGGTGGCTCACGCCTGTAATCCTAGCACTCTGGGAGGCCGAGGCGGGCGGATTGCTCCAGGTCAGGAGTTCGAAACCAGCTCTCGCAAGAGCGAGACCCCGTCTCTACTAAA